CCCCCAAAACCCCAAAACCCCAAAACCCCAATGAGGATTTAAATAATTGAATTATTTATTAACCTTTTGTGAGTACGCTTGTTTCTGTTGGTCAGTCATTGTTTGCCACAGTTTAAAGATGATGTAAAAGAATTTGTGGTCTATTTTGACCTTAGACTTTCCACTAGTAGTATAGTGGTCTACTTTCTCATCAATAAAACATGCATATGGGCTTTTTGGTACGAATTTTCCCTGAAGGTTAGGAATCAAGCTTACATTTTTAATCTTTAAGAAGGCAACTACCTCTTTTTCTCCAATTCTTCTTAGAGCATAATCATTTTGTTCAGCCTTCTCCATTTGGTTCCACTTCTCTGTAGCCTCTTTGAAATGAGACTTTTCCTTCTTCCACAAATTTTGACCTCTTGATTCCTTCATTTGTACTTCTTGAGTCTTTGTCAGTGGATACCAGAACTTGTCTTTATTTTATCTTAATCAGAACCAAATTGTCCTTCTTACTTCTTTTTACTGTAATGAACTTGCTACAATTTGATTGGAAGTGCTCATTATAGTCTTGATATTTCACATATTCTTTAACAAACAGCTCCTCACCTTTTTGTAGGTTGTATTTAGTGATTCTATTTTCCATTATTTCCATTCTTTTCTTTATAGAGTCTGAGACTAAGTTCAATGTCAGAGATTCATTAATCTTTTCAAGCTTATTTATGTGCAGACAAGCTTCTAATACTGTCCTCAACAATGAGCCTGACTTCATTATAAGCTATATGAGCGATGATATCTATCATATTCTTGGGCAATTGAATCCCTATCCATTCGAGGAATACCTCTTTGCCTCTGGAGAGGAAATTAGTAGTCCGACATTTGTTAAAGACTGTGTAGGAGGTTTCATCCATGCTTTCGACGAGTTCAGAGTAAAATGTAGTCCTCTCTTCATGAAGAAGCTCTTCTTCTTTGACTTCTTGGTCAAAATCCTCATCTTTTTCACCCTCTTTACTCTCTTCATTTGGCTCGAGTGGTTGATCCTGATCCACCTCGAAATCTTCTCCAATTTCGTCTTTAGGAATAAAGCTAATATCATACTCTGCCTCTTTTTCCTTGAGACCATCGACTTCCTTCATGATCTTTTTAAGCTTATTTATAAGACTGTATTTCTCTAGAGTAGATTTTCTTAGCAAATTCATCGTCAAGCTCAGGCTTTTGATCCTTTTCAGGCTCCTTCGTGATTAAGAAGGGAATCCAATCAGTTTTTAAGAAATACTCAATCTTTTCAGCAGTTGTTTGATTTGAATTAGGGCAGAAATCTCCAAACCCATGCATCATTTTCTGAAGCAAAGATGTGATTGAGTCTCAAGGTTTTACAGATGTACGCTTTCGCTTCTTGGGTGCTTTGATAATCGATAAGTTCTTGGAAACTTTCGCAAGGCTAGAGCAGAAGCTTTTATGGATTTCCAAATTTTGAGCTATCCAAGGTGGCTTAGCACTGACTTTAACCTCAGTGTCAAGACCTGGTTCATCGAACTCAGTGTTCATACTAACCTTCCTACTTAGCAACATCTCAAAATCATCTTCGATCACATTCACATCTTCCAATAACTTCATTATTCTTGTTCTACTTTTATCTGATATCTTTTCTACAACATATCTACACAAAATTATTTCAATTCTCCATCTTAACAAAAATCTCCAAAATTCAGCTTAAAGAATTTCCCCAGAATTCTAAGACCCAAGTAATCGAACTCTCAAGGAAACTAAACTCTTAGAATATATTATCAGCCTCTAATTCGCACTTTAAAATCAATTTTAAGTGCTTTTAGTAATTCACTTACTCAATTTCTGGCTGAGTCAATTCCATTAAGGCAAGCAAGTCGTTTTTAGTCAGCTTTTTGATAGACTGAGTCGAAGTAGAGATTTGGCTCAGAAATTTTATTGATCTAGATGTCTTTCCAGGCTTTGTTTGAAGCTTTAGAGACATTTTCAGGTTATTAATATTATTTTAAGTATTTAGGATTATTTTTGGGGTTTTGGGGTTTTGGGGTTTTGGGGTTTTGGGGTTTTGGGG